TGAGTTAAATGGTTTACTGATGTCCAAAAAGAAACATCCAGAAGACTGCCTCCATGCTGAGCAACAGAAGCTTTTTAAGTATGAGAAGGAAATGTCTTCTGAGGAAGCCACTGGGATCCATGTTCTGAATCTTTAAAATTTCACCAACTAAGAGAACAGAAAAATACCATGGAAAGAACTTGGGGCATCTTGCTGTGAGGGTGGAATCAACATGCTGATAAAATTGAGTATACAAATCTCATTAGGCAGATGGGCATCTATTCTTGCCCCATTGATCCTCCTGCTGGTTAATTACGTTAGCCTATGAGTTTTAGAGAACCTAAAAGACAAAATATTGAAAATAATCTCTTGACTGAGAACAGAATTCTTCCAAATTAGACATAACGCCAAAACAGAACGGATCAGGAGTCTAGGTTAACAGTCAACAAGGGGTTGGAGGTCAGGTTAGTCTTTTTAAAGATGGCACCCAGCCTGAGGTTGTTGCTGGATCATGGGTGGCTGGTACACATAGAGGGTTCATGGCTGTTAGCTCAGGAAGGCTAGTGAATACTGGGCTGGGTGAAAGCTAAATCCCTTTCTTCTCCCCTCCCTCCCTCCTTCCTTTCCTCCCTCCCTTCTCCCTCCTTCATTTCCCTCCTCTCTCTTTCTTTCAATGTAGCAGTAAAATCAACTGTTCTATGGGAAAGAAACTCCAAAAGAAGTTCCTGTTCCCTGGATAAATGCAAGCTTTCAACACTCCATGCAGCCATCCCAATTTCTTTTTCAGGAAACACATTTTACTCTAAATGACCCATTTTGAAGACTTTCTTGCAATCCGGAGAGGAGACTAGTCTGCTGGTTATAAAGGAATGGATTTTATGGGAGTGCTGCTGAGGTGTCTTGGTGGGAACAAATTCACAAGGGACAAGACAACACAGAACACCTTCTTGCCATTTGCAGAGAAGATCGTGTTCTCTCTGGTTGAACAGGGCTGGGGCTGCACACTAGCTTCTCCTGACATTACTAACAATCTGCCTCATAATGCTTTAAGGATAATTTGGATAAGCTTTTGCTGGTTTCTCACAAATGAATAGGATAATCTTTGCTAGAGCTTGAGCATACTTAGATAGATACATAGATACTACAGACTCCTTTCTGAGATTGATTTAATGAAAAAAATATCGCCTCCTCTGATTTTGTGCTGGTTCATGCTGTCTTGAATTTCAACTTTTTAACATAGATAGAAAGTAGGTGGAACACTGTTATTTCTAGGAGTAATTGTCAGTAACTACATGGGGAGACTCAGATTTAGATTTCTTGGTGATGATTCCAGAATATAGATTCACACATATGAGAACTTCTCTTATATGAGCAATAGGATACTTTCCTACAGTGGTCACATAGCAAGTACTATAGCCTTCCTTCATGCCTTTAAAAACAGATGGAGAAAATGTCTATATTTTTAAAATGACAAACTCATGTGGTTGCTGAAGGAATGGGAAGTTTCTGGGATTAGGGAAAATAATATTATAAAGAGGATGTGTTTTTATAATAGAAAGTTTAGAATCAGCGGAGCAAAAACTATAACTGAAATTGCGTATGATTTCCAACTCTGAAAAAGGAAGAGCTCAGGAAACACAGACGACCATTTCTGCTGCAGTGGAGAACGTCCCAAGAACGCTGTGATTTCCCCCATCTCTCCCTCTATAACTCTGAAAGCTTTGACTCGGCTCCTGCCTTAAGACTCTCAGAATGAACCACCCTGGAGCCCCCCTCCCTCCATCTTCAGTCCAGCCCTGTTCCTCAGGATTGGAAGGCTGATGAGGCTCTGTGTATCATCCTCTCTGACCTAATGTCCCCATCCTTCACACCTCCTATTCTCATATCTCTTCTACTGTCCCTCTGGGACTCATGGCCATTAGATGACTGTGTATCTCTAGCTTTTTTTCTGAAATAAATTTCCCTTCACTTTTTGCTCTGTCTCCTCTCTGCTTGTCTCTCTCTCACCCTGTGTCCATGGTGGCCAACAGATGGGCTTAGCGTCCTCTTTATTTTTCGTTGCCACTTTTAGGTCATTTCCCCCCCTTCCCTTTGCAAACCTCATGTTTGAAATCCAACCAGATTTTAGTCCCTATTTCTCTTATCTTCTAGCTTCTGTTCCTGCTATCCATCATTTATTAATGGGCCATACCTTCTATAAGGCATGCATCCTTTTGCAGTAGTTGAGAAGTCTTTAATATCTACATCAATGATGTTCTGTCACCCCCTGCCTTGCAGTTCCTTGGCTCCGTGCCTCCAATGACCTTGTTTTCCACCCTTCTGTTCAAGGTCGTCCTCCAACATACCATTGCTAGTAAGTGTGCCTTGTCACACTCATACTCTCTTTGCAGCCTTCTTCTTGCTCAGTGACAAAACATCTTCAGCACCACCACATGTATAATCTACCAACCCCATGTCCTCATCTCCCTCCTTACTTAGAGTCCACATTCCAATTTATACCAGGCTCCTGTTTATACAGTACATCTTAGTTTCCTTATTTGTTTCCCTTCAAAATACTTTCTTAGAAAAATCCTTGTTTAGTATCTGTCTGACTTCAAAATGCCTGAAGAAAAACACTCGTAATCATGACCAGAGCTCTTTTAAATGCATGGTTGCTAACTTTTTCTTTCTTTTTCTGGTTTTTTTTTGAGACAGGGTTTCTCTGTGTAGCTTTGGAGCCTGTCCTGGAACTTGCTCTGTAGATCAGGCTGGCCTTGAACTCACAGACATCTGCCTGCCTCTTTCTCTCAAGTGCTGGCATTAAAGGTATGTGCCACCACCGCCTGTCTTCTTTTTTAATCTATTTATTTATTATGTATAGAGTGTTCTGCCTGAATGTATCTCTGAAGGCCAGAAAAGTGCACCAGATCTCATTACAGATGGTTGTGAGCCACCATGTGGTTGCTGGGAATTGAACTCAGAACCTCTGGAAGAGCAGCCAGTGCTCTTAACCTTTGAGCCATCTCTCCATCCCAATGGTTACTAACCTTAAGCAGGTCTTTTTCTTGCTGGCAGTCTCTTTGTATATTCCTTGTCCATTTAAAATTTTACTTCTCTGTTTGGAATTTCATGTTGTTCTTGCCTTTCCCGCAATCCTCAGCCCTTACTTGCTGTTGCTTATCTTAACTGAGCAAACAGAAGCAATTACAGTGTCCAGCCTCACTGCACCTGAGTCCATGTGCTCTGCTTGCCTTCCTGGAAGGATAAACTGCCCAACTCCACCTGAAAGCCAACTCCAATTTGTCAGCGTTCCCATCCCCTCTCAAAGTTTGGTTAAAAGATGTACCATAGGGCTGGGGCATGGTGCTATGTGTTTGCAATCCAGCACCTATGGGGAAGAAACAAGTGGATCTCTGTAACTTTGAGGCTAACCTGGTCTACACAGAGAGTTCCAAGCCAGCCAGGGGTACATAGCAAGATCTTGTCTAAAAAAAAAAAGTACCATAAGGCCAGCGAGATGACTAAGTATAAAGATACTTGCTGCAAAGCCTGATGACTTGAGCTGGATACCTGAGACCCACACGATGGAAGGAAAGAACCAGCTCTAGGAAGTTGCCCTCTGATCTCTGCAAGCATGCTATAGCACAACGCACCCCCCATGGGGGTGTGCATGTGACACACACACACACACACACACACACACACACACACACACAAATAAAATGTAGTTAAAAAACTTAAAAAAGATGTGTCACAAAATTCATAGGCCCATATGAGCTCTAGTTATTTACTTATGAACATATAGGATAATAGTTAGATAATTGATTATGTATTTAATTATTACTGATAGTATAAAGATTCTCAATGGTGTCCATGACCTACCCTTTTCTTCCTATTCAGATCTCTTCAGGGTTTTTATTACTAAAAGTGATACTTCTAATTTCCTATTTCCTATTCCAAGACAGAGATAGCAAAGCTGTAGTTGCTTTGTTGTGGCTCTCCATGACTTGCGTAAAACAGTACTGATTTTTGATTCTACTTTTCCTTAATGTTACTGAATGTTGGTTATGGCTCATAATGCTGCATTTTCTGTTATGATGTCCATGAATGTTAGTTTCAAGTCCTGGAGGAGGCTGTGGAAAAGTTTGAGGACAGCTCTCTAAGACATAGAGCCTGCGTTGAGCCTCGGCCTCCTTGTGTGTAACGGCAGGACTGTCCAGATCAACCTGTGCTTTCTTCATCTGTGACTTTTCAGAAGCGATTGACACCGTCGGTTACTTCTTTAACGAAAGGCTGTCTTCTCTTGGCTTCTGCAGCCCCAAGTCTCCTAACTTCAGTTACCACAATCTCCTGATTTTCAGCACACCTTACCTCTTCTTCTCAGTCTTTGTTCATTCCATTTCATTTCTTGCTTCTAAACAATGGAGGTGCCTAGAGTTTAGTACTTTGTCAGTACTCATATTCTATGTAGTTTCATCTTGGGCCACCATAAAAAGTTATATGTGCATCAAGGTGTCCCTAGCTGTAGAGGACTTTCCTTACAAAATTGCAAGGCAAATATAATGGTCCTTTGTACATTCTGAGCAACTCAAGGTTGTGGATGTCATGAGTCTTGTAGCTTTCAATATTTTCCATTCTTCATGACAATGGATTCATTCTTTGAACTTTGGATCCACACACATTTAATACCTATGCTTTGATAAAAATCTAATATTCAACATCAAATTTCTAATTTCCCCTGGCTCTTAATTTTGTCTCTCTTTTTTCACTTTAGTAAATGATTGTTCAGTCTAAAAATCTGTGATTCCTCCCTTCCCCCCATCCCTCTCTCTCTCCCCCTCTCTCTCCATATTCTATTTGTTAGCAAACTGTGTGGCTCTACTTTCAAAACACACCTAGAATTTGACCATCATCACTATCACCACTGTTCTTACTATTAACATCATTAAACCACTATCATCTGCTTCTCATTTTGGATTATTTTTCTAACTGGCATATGTACATCTATCTCTGCTATTCTCATTTTTTTCCTTTTTAAAAAGATAATTGTGGAAAACTTCACAAATTTTGATGTTATTCTCGCACAGAGGCCATGCTAATCTTCTCTATACACATGCTTCCAATGCAAGCACAAACTGTAATTTTATTTGTTTAATTAGTTTTTTCTTTTGTGTGTGTGTGTGTGTGTTTGTACAACAGTACATGTGTGAAAGTCAGAAGATGACATTCAGGAGTCAGTTCTCTCCTTCTGCTCTTGGTACCTGGGATTGAACTCATGTCATCAAGCTTGTATGACAAGTGCTTTTACTCACTGTCATCTCAACAGCCCTTAATATAATATTTGTTTTTTGAGATAAGGTCCTGGCTGTCCTAAAACTCACTGTGTAGATCAGACTGGCATTGAACTCACAGAGATTTACCTGCCTTTGCCTTCTGAGTGCTGGGATTAAAGGTGTGTGTCACCAAGATGAACTTCTAGCTCTCTCCACCCCCTTTACACACACACACACACACACACACACACACACACACACAC